ATTAACCAAGTACAGTGTAACCCTGATATAAGAGAAACCCGGATATAAGAGAGATTTTCTCTGGTCCCAAATTAGAGCCTGTGTTAATGTATATTTAATAGCCCAAACCCGGATATAAGAGAAACCCGGATATAAGAGACTTCTTCTCTGGTCCCGACAACTCTCTTATATCCGGGTTACACTGTATATATAAAGAGCATTCATAACATCATCTACATGAAAAATATTCTGTAATTAATTAAAAAGCATAAAAATGAACATTAATTTGTTTATTATTCAATTAGGAAAATTGTTAAACAAAATGAAAAAAAAAATCAGGAAAATGAACATAAGAAACACTATTATACTACTCTACAAGAATCAACTACAAAATAACTACAAATTAGACAATTTATAAGAAATCTAAAACATCAATACTTATCTATCGATAAGAACAAAAATTAAATACATCACTTAAGATAAAAACAAAAAATCTCTAACATGGTCATGTATGCTATGACAAAAAATTTAAAACTAATGTTGTTTATGAATTCATTTGCCATCTTTGTGCGTGTTTCTTGTGTGTCTATATTTAAGTGCTTTTAACAAATTTTGGCCATTATCAAGAATAGAATGCTTTAGCTTTGATATTGAAGAAAACCTTTATATATTTTTATTATTATGGTATCTTGTATTTAAGATATATTCATGTTTTGATTTAAATTTATGAAATTTCAAATATCAGTGGCATTGTTTGCAAGCTCCTAATATCAGATCTAAAGGTCATTTGTAATGTTATGTATATTGAGCTTGTGTGTTTGAGTGGAAATCTGACATAATTACCTTACAATGATTGTTTAGTATCTTCATTATTTTAATCACATTTGGTCTTTGACATGCCCAAAGTCATACAATGAGTGTCTAATATCATATAGGAATTCTTTTAATTCAGCAAAATGGAATAACCCTGTGGTATTGATTCCACCAGTGGTGGGAAGACCGATGGAGAGATGTTGAGCCAACCTGTCTTGATAGCTATTCACAACTCTCTAATATTTGCATATAGACTTCTCTACCATGTACCTTAAATGCTCAGTTGGTAAACATGGTGGCCACACTATTCATTGGAAGTCTCCACAATGCTCCCCAAACTAATTATAGGCAAGCTGGCCCTAATTACACTGGAATAACATCATTGTTAGGTACACAGATGCCATGAATGATTTGGAGGCGGGGGGTCACAAATCATTGCCATGAAATCAATGACATTTAGGGAGACCAGCAGACCTAACACAGGAAATATGAACACACCCCAAAACAGGAGTCAGCAACCTATGGCAAGTGTGCCACACGTGGCAAGCCAGGCAATTTCCAATGGCACCCCAAGCACAAATGACAACATGAAGTCTGAACCAATAACTACTACAATGCAAAGAAGATATCTAGCTGTTTCAGTTTTAATATATACTAAAGTATATATAATATATATTACTATATAAAATATATTGTAGAACAGGTTTATTGATCTTGACTTGTATGCTGTTGGCACACTGAATGATTTTAAAACCCTAAGTTGTCACATAGCAAAAGGTTGCCGATCTCTGCCCCACAGCATTATGGAACCACCACCTGGCTACATGATACTTTGTTGAGAACTGTGGTTCATGATGTTTATGTTGTACTAGAACCTTACCATCATAGGGACAAAAATAAGAGACTATGACTCACTGGATCACACATTACCAATTAGCAACTAGACAATTGTCAATGTCACAATCTCATAAGACCAGGCAATCTTTACTTCAGTCACAATCTCATAAGACCAGGCAATCTTTACTTCAGTCACAATCTCATAAGACCAGGCAATCTTTACTTCAGTCACAATCTCATAAGACCAGGCAATCTTTACTTCAGTCACAATCTCATAAGACCAGGCAATCTTTACTTCAGTCACTTTCTCATCAATGTGATGTAGCTTCCCTCTGTCTTTTCTACAAATATTTTCATGGCAACTGCTCTGACTAGCTTTTTTTTCCCTGATACACCAAATACATGAATTTAAGCGTGCTACCAGATTAGCATCTAGGTCCGACCTTTTTACTGTTGAAATAAATAAATGCAACCACCACTTCTACTCCAACAGTTTCTTTTCTCACACTTCCCACCTGTGAAACTCTCTTCCATTTACTTGCTTCCCTGATAACTACAATCTACAAAAATTTAAATGCAACATCAGTTACCTTCTCTCTTCTTGAATCTTGTTCATCGTTTGTTCTTTTCTTATTCCTCCTTATTCTCAGTCTTCTCTTTCACTTTCACTCCTGCATACTAGTAGCATTCTCACCTTGCTTGTGGTGAAATGATTAAAAAAAAAAAATAAAATCTGGAGTTAACAGGAAAAAAACATCTGGATTTTATATGTGAACTTGACTTGTACCTGACCCACAGCATATCAGTTATAAGTATTTTTAATCTTAGTCTGTGATATTAAATGTAAATGGGGGTAGGGCCTTACCAGTCATCAAATATAGTAATACTAGTGTAACTGTGCTGTCAAATATGACTGCAATTGTTAGAAAGTTTTAATAGTGAGATGCAATGAAACAAAAGTCTTTAAACAATGTATTCAGATTCAATAAAGCCAGGATAAAGAATTCACAGCAAAAATGAGGCCAATTAATCTGTTCTCTTTATATTTTTTATACATTCAGTGATATCTACGATTCATTGATTACTACTTTGCTCAAAATGTTTTCATGTTAAAAATTTTATGTGTTCAATATAACAGTGAAATGGAAATATTTCTCAGAAGATAAAGATTAGCAACAGAACAAAAAAGGCTGTGACAACAAAGCCTAAGTTGAAGCGAGATGATCACTTAATAAACAAAAGTATGTGAGCGCCTCACATGAAGGGCATGAACAAATAAAACTGCAATCTAAGAAATGTGTGACTAAAGCAACTGATTAATTAAACTGGTCATTTTGCTCGGAAAGTAATTTTGTCTAAATGCAGATAAATATTTGTATAGATTATTAAAATGTCTAAGGGAAGTAATCACTCATAACTTTACTAACTTACATTGATTTACCTCCCTTACCACTACAGATAGGACAGGAAATATACAAATAAATACACATTAATAATTATTTAATTTTTCACTTAAAATATGCTATTAACTAGCCTAAAAAGTTAAATTTATTCCATGGCTATCTTACTTCTGTGGCAACTCTTCCAGTTGATTTAATCTCATCTATGTATTCCATATCTTTATGAAATGGTTTCTTTGAGATATTTCTGTTAATTTTATTGTAGCTTTTTGTAAAGAATTGTTTTCTTCCCCCCCCCCTATCAATTTTCTATGCTGTATTATGCAAAGATTTTGCAATTTATAAAGAATCAGCATTTTATTATGACCCACAGTCTCTTCAAGGAAAAGTATCATTGCCTTCATAAAAAAAGGACACGCCTTCACAACCACAATATCTGCCTCTCTTTCCTGGACCTTCCACCACTATCTGTGCTCATATGAATTTGTATTTCATTATGTCTAATCTGATGGTGCATCTTAAACACTGAATCATTACCTTTTACACACAACATATGTCACTCAAACAACACAGCTGCCTTTTATTTCTGAGTTCTGTCCCAAGACTATATAACCCCCTACCCAGTAAAATTTTCTTTTCATTTATCTCAAGCAGGAATGTCCACACAGAACTCCTAGGGCCACATGTGCTTCCTTGGTGTAAACTAATGTATCTCCAAGGCTATAGAAGATAATGATTATTGAAAGGCTTTGTGCAAAATGTTCCGGCTCAAAATGTAGAATTATTTCAGTCTCAAATTTCAAGGAAATATTTTTAACTCTTGGGAGTTATAAATTATAGATCAAGAAATATACAGAAAAGTAAGTTTTGAAGTCAAGAGCTGAAAAAGTGTACTTAATAGTTGAAGATTTGGAATTGTCTCTGGATTTAAAAGAAAAAAAAAAGTTTGGAACATGATTTTTGAAAAGGATTGAGATACACTTGATTGTTGTAGACTTTTATAGGATGTCTATTTGAATTACTTTATTCTTTTTCTTCGTGAGGCTGAAAGTTTTCTAAACAGATATTTGATGGTTTGTGTATATGTCAGGATGGAAAGAAAAAAAATTCCTTAACACAACAAATTATTAGATCTGTGCAAAAATTTCTGTCACTCTTTAGAAATAGTAAAAATGGTGTCTGTCTGTGGCAGATTGTACAAATCACATGACTTTTAATTATTGCACATTTTTATGATCTGACTCATCTCCAAGAATGGCCCAGGCTGCTAGAGGATAGGAGTTTTGATAAAGACACCATCATCTTGAGAGCCCAGTTTACCTTGCTATTTATGGGAAAAGGAGAGATGTATTCATGCCTTTCCCAAGGGTATTTAATTGTTTAAAACTTGGTTTTATAAGAAAAATTCTTAATATCAGTTTAATTTGTTCATGGAAATCAATTTATAAACACTTTTGTTAATTGCGTAAATCTAGAAATTGTTCAGTTGAACAGTGCATTGACTCCAAATTTCCTTATGCAAAGCTGTTCATTTTTTTTATTTTAACTGCATTTTTGTTCACTATTTACATTATTTGAACTATTGTCCTCATCTTTGTTGCCATATTTATTACAATGTTTTGGCCGTTGTATGTTTCGGCCTTCTTCAGGTGGTTGGAATGTTGAACTGAACCCTTTATTGTGCTCACTGGTGTAGACTGTTCTAGTTCCATGTTTAATGGATGTCAGTTATCAGTTATCTCCTTTTAATTCCCCTCTGCAAGTTCTCCACTGCTGTAAACCTGATGTGTGTGTGTGATTTGTATTGTGGTTTCTTGTTTATTTTGATTCATTTATCATCTTCATATTATTTGGTGAGGATGAGTAATAAAAATGTTTCAGTTAAAACCTGTCAAAAATATAGAATAAAAGTAATTAAAAAAAAAAAATATGAAATGGTTTTCTGAAGTTTAACTTCTTTTTTTATTTCAGGGTGGAATGGGTAAATTAAGAATTATGAAAGATGGTATTAGGGTTGATGGACAGTCAGAATTTTCTAAAACCTTATATACATCGAATATTAATGCTCCGGATGTAAGTAATCTTTGTTTCCTACTGTTTCTTTCAGATTAAAATAGAAAATCTTACAAGTGAAGGAAAGAAAACTATTTTCCAAAACTTCAAGTTGCTATTCTCAACTAAAGTCACAGGACTTATGTAAATTATAAGAAATAAATCTCAGAAAAGCTATAATTTATGTCCTCCATTCATAATAATTTACAGGAAGTTAAATTAACTGGTGAATTTCCTCTCATATAATATATATATATATTAAATGTTCAGACAAGTATTACTTGAAGTCATCAGACCCACTTATTTGGGTGACAGAATACACTCTTCATGTACTTATGTGTTTTATCATTTATTTTTGCAACACTATTATGGTGCAGAAACTTAGAAACAAAATAATCAACTTATCCTAAGCAAGAAGAAATCAATAGAGTGAATCTGTTTGTTTTAATGTTTTTTTTTCTAGAATCAACCATTAATTGTGGAGTCCAGCAGAAATATCACTCTACAAGCCAGAGATAAAAGAGATGTAGTTACAAATACATTAGTAATAGGTAAGTACAAAAATAATTACTAACTTACACAATGACATGAAAGTTGTTAAAATATATATATATATATATATATATATATATATATATATATATGCCACTGATGTCAACACAACATCGTGACAATTTCATACAGTCTTCAGTATAAATGTTTGCCACGTGCCAAAATTTTGATCTGAAAATCAATAGTTTCTGTTAAAAAGAAAGAAATGCCTGCACACATGTTTAATTTTATTTTGGTATTCAAAGTATTTTTTTGCTTTTACTGGAAAGACAAAAATTAAATATTTTTGATGTTGATAATTAATCCATTAAAGTAAACACCTAATTAACATTCCAGTGTATTTTACAGGTCAAAAAAAAAAAAAAAAGTTAGTGAATAATTTCTTTTCATTTAGACAGAGATAGATATAGAGATATACATTGGTTGTTTTTCTTCAGTGGCATATCAACATTAATGGGTTAATTAATGCTGAAATCTAAATATTTCATATGCAATTTATATTTCAAATGTAATTTTATGCCTTCAAGTACAGATATTCTCTATGTAATTTTATACTTTGAGGATAAATGTATATTTCATTGAGATGTAACACCTACAAGGGATCATCTACAATCTATGTTTTGGTATACCTATTCTATATATATATATATATACACACACACACACACACACACAAGGGTTGTTCAAAATTTTCTGTCACCCAAGAAGAATGAAAGTTTTTCACTATTATTCAATATAATCCCTCTTGACATCAATGCACTTGGACCAATTTGTTTAAGTAATTCCTCCATAGCACATATGATCTCATCATTATTTAGGAAACAGGAAGAAGTCAGATGAAGCAAAGTCTGGTGGGTAAGGGGCTCAGGGTAGCAATTCAAAGCCACAGTTGGCTAATTCATCTACTGCAACCTGAGCAGTATGAATGGGTGTGTTATTCTGGAGCACACCTGCCATTTTGACTTTATTGCTTTCTTCACTTATTCTGATGCATAGTACTGTCCATTAATAGTTTTCCATACTCTATCATGATTATGCCTTCAGAATCCAAAAAAAATAGAAGCCATCACCTTGCCAATAGATGGTGCCTGCTTGAATTTATTTGGGGTGGAGAACCCAGAGTGTTTCCACTATTTACTTTGAATCTTTGATTCAGGTTCAAAGTGATGAACCCAGGTTTCATCAACTTGCTATTCTGTGGTGAAAATTCTCAAGGTCCACGAGGAAGTGAGTCAGAAGTACCCTGGAAATGTTAACCTTTTTCATCTTCTGCTCTGGTGTCGGTATTCTTGGAACCCGTCTTTTAGACAGCTTGCTGATCCTGATGATCTCAGTTAAACCAGTATGGACTGAACTTGAACTAATGCCTATACACATAGACATCTTATTGTCCAGCAGATAGCTGTCATCCAGAAACATATTGGTGAATGGCATCAACTTGTTCATCAGTAGTTGAGGTTTTTGGTTGACCTGAACAAGGCTCATCTTCTGTACTGTCCCTACACCGCTTGAATTTTGCAGTCCACTTATTCATAGTTGCATAAGAAGAGGAGTCCTCAGTAAATGTGTGTACCATGTCCTCATGGATTTCACTGGGTGTTATACCTTTTCTTTAACAAATACTTTTTGACTGCTTGGGTCACTATCTTGTCCATTTATACATTTGTCGCACACCTCTCACTTTGTATAGAACTCACCTGCACAGAAATTAAGTTAAAAATCTGAATTAGTTTTCTATTTTTATAACAGATTATAGTGTGTTGCCACAACAGAAATGTCCAACTATGGCTCTTAGAGATATTAAAAGAATTTATTTTTCCTGGAAAGGAATGGTAGAAGAGATAATAAACTCTGATCCTGAACAGTAACAAAGTTGCATACAAATGCAGGACTTGAAACTACTGAATGAAATTTAAAACAATAAACTTTTATGACAAAACATTTAAACCATGTATCAAATTGCAATATTTTACAAGATAGGCTCCCACAAAAATTTATTTCAGTGCACAGATAACATATTTGAAACAATCTTCCAAAAATAATAAAAAAAATAACTTTGTGCACCTTTTTTTAAAAGAATATCACACATAATCAAAACAGGAATAAAATAATAGATTGAAGACAGATTTTCAATTAATTGGTGTCATGGGGACATTTTACGATTTCTCTTTTATAGAGCACAGTTCCTTTTATATATGCTTTTCAGGTGGCAGCCAAAATTGCTTTCCTCTTTGGGTCATTAACATTTTGCATTCAAGATGAAATTTTTGACACTTTGTTTGTCCTCGTTGGAACATTCAATTCTTAAAATATTTGATAACTTTGAAAATCAGAATACCTTTGGAAGCTTATCTAACAATTGCAGGGGCTCAGAACAGATGCCCACATTTCATTTCTGTATAAATGGAAATAGTATTTTTTTTTTTTTTAATTTAGTGATTACTTAACAGGCAATGCTAAAAATAGAAAGACAAATGTAATAACGTCTGGCTTTCTATAAAATAAACTTCTCTAAAAATGTCTACATATAAAACCTACATAATTATGTTTATTTACACTTTTTATTACTAACTACATATTACACACACCTCTTGATTTCTTCTTTCCTTTGTCTTTCTTTCTCTATCTTTTGTTGTGATTGTTTCTTTCCCCTTTTTCTCTCTCTCACTTTTTCCATTTTTCTGTTACTTTGTTTTCATCTCTCTCTTCTTTTTCTAACATTTCTCTTTCTTTTTATTGCTCCTTTTCTCTGTCTTGCTGTTTTTTGGTTTTTTCTTGTCTTTCTTTTTCCTCTGTGTTTCTCCTTTTTTATATTTCTTTTTTTCTCTTTCTGTGCATTTTCTGTTTTTCTCTCTCTCTCCACATTTTTCTGTCTCTGCATTTCTGTTTCTCTTTTTGTTTTTTTTTTTCTTTCTTTTTCTGCATTTCTCTGTTTTTTCTGTCTTTCCCTTTGTTTCTTTCTGCCTTTTTTATGTCTGTTTCTTTCTCTCCTTTATGATTTCGTTTCTTTTTCTTTCACCTCTCTCTCTCTCTCTTTCTTTTTCCTGTGTGTCTGTTTTTTTTTTCTTCTTTATTCTCTCTCCTTTTGGTGTTTTTATTTCACTTTTTCTTTGTTTCTTTCTCTCTCTTTCTGTGTTTCTTTTTCTTATTTTTCTCTCTCCATCTTTCCTTCTTTCTTGATTTTTCTCTTTATTTGGCTCTCTTTTTATTATTTTTTTTCCCTCTTCTCGCCCTCAATCTAACTTTTCCAGCTCTTTCTATTTTTTTTCTTCCTTTGTTTAAATGTTTTATTTTAAATCTTAAATTCATCTAACCCTTGTCTTTTCCATTTCAGGTGATAAGAAAATAGAATCGACCTGTGAAAAATTCTCTGTGAAGGATAAGAAAGGTCGTGAACGCTTGTCCATCACTGACGGACATGTTCAATTGTATCATAATGAATTTATACATAAAGGTTAGTTTATTATATTTGTTTTGTTTTTTTAAATTATCATCAGCTCATATGCTTAAAGTTTATCTTTATAATCAATCAATTGTTTTTTCTTTGTTAGCTTTCAATTATAACATTGCTTTGTTATTTAAGTGAAGCCATTTTTTTTTTTTTTTCCTCTTTTCTCTGAAGTTTGGTTTATATACTGCATATAAGCATAACTTACTTCAATTTATACCCAAACAGTTTTTGACTAATACTACAAGCATTTCTGCAGAGTGCATGAAAGTGAAAGGACACTGCCTTCTTAACACCAGAAAAATGTTGGTAGAAATAAACTTGTTTATCAAAAAAAAAAAAAAATTCAATAAATTAAGATATCATAAAATTGAATTTTTATAATTTTCTGTATTATTTTTCTTTTCCAGGAGAATCAATATTTGATGGATCAATTGAAACACCTACTGTTCGCTCACCAAAGACCAAGCCTCTAATGTAAGTTCTTTATATTTTGACACCTAACAGTTTGTTATTTTCTGTATGCCATTTGTAGAAAATTAACCCCTGCTCTCTCTTCCTTTGCAGTATTGAGGCTCCTGAGAGTTACGTGAAACTTGTTGGTCACAGTGGTGTGAATGTAATTTCACTTGCAGGAAAAGTGGATTTCAAGAGTTCAAAAGAAATAGTTTTCCATTCAAGTAAAGCTTCAGTAAGTTCCTTTTAGTTTGACATGTGAAATTGTTGTTAATCTCCCACCAAAGTCTACATACATTGAAATTCTCCTTTCATTTTCTCTTTCAGATATCTTTAGATGCCAAAGGTATCTATTTAAAAAATATGAAAATCAGCTCATCTACGACAGGCGGTAGTGATCCTAATCTTCCTAAAGTACACCAGCTGTGCATGTGTGACACAGGCCGTCTCTTCCTGGCATCCCCAACGCAAGAGTGTGAAGCAACAGCTGAACTTTGCAGAAGATAGCCCAAGCTATGGCTTAATCTGAAACTCACACAGAGAGAGAGAAACAAACCCTATTTCAATTTGGCTTTGTTGGGCCCGAGCTGGTTCCATTGAGCGTTAGCTTTGATTTAAAAGTAAAAATGCCAAAGTGCCTTTTTATTTTAGTTAATCTCTAAGCATAAAAGATGAATTCTATTTTGTTGTAATCTAAAAGAGTCTGTCTTTAAGAAGAGACTTGTTAAAACATCCTTATCATTGGATATGGACTATAAGGGATTTTTTAATTTTTTTATTATATAGTATTTGAAGAGTCTTTTATATCAAAGATATCTGTGACCTTTAACCAGACTCTTACTATCCGTGCCTACTCTAGAGTGATGATGACCTTTTTGAAGACTATGACTAGTGTAATAAATTCAGTCTTCATCAGATGTCTTCCTTTTGATAAATGAAAAACCCATACACACAAAACTCAGTCCAGCTGAGTATTGTAACATATACCGAGATAAAAAAAAAAAACAAACGTCCAAGTACTTCAGTTTCAAAAAGACAACTGAATGCACATTTTCCAATCAAGTGTATTTATATCTTACATTAGGTTTTTACTTTTATATTCCGTCCAGCTATGCAAAATATTTTTCACATATTAAAGGATGTTATCAATATTTTGAAACTAATACATCAATTCTAAAATCAAATTAGGAACTTTTTTCCTACTTGAAAATATTTTTATTATTATTGAAATTAATTTTCTGTAAGAAAAATCCAGTTTGTATCATATGATCACATATACCTGCAAATAAAATTCATAAAATGTGACCTCACTAATATAAGCACATTCATACTTACCACAAATGGATATATATCATAATAGGATAATTAAATAAGTTTTTAAGATGTTTTTATAAATGGACATGTAAAAAGAAATTCAAAATCGTTGTATGTTCATGTTCAGAGACATTTGTGTTGAAAGTCCATTTATCTCATCAACAAGCAAAACCTTTGTCATCTGAGGTTTTAAAATGTTTCAATTTTCTTTTCTAAGAAAAACTTGGGATTTTTATTAATATAAAAACATTGTTTATCTGTCTGTTTAATGACAGCAAAGGAAGCCAGGTTGACAAAGCTTCCTCATGTCCCTGGAGACATAAAAAAAAAAGCTAAAAGGTGAAAATATATCTTGTTTGACAAAAAATTTAACCAGGACATTACAGAAACCCATTCATTTTTGAAAGGTACTTAAATGCATTCATTTTATGTTAAATTTTTACCTTCTTCCTACATAAAATAGGGTTTCATTTTGAATTGTCTGTTTCATTTTTACCGACTAAAATAACTTACATCTGGAAATACTTCCCCCTCCCCATTCTTTTTTATATTCATTGAAGCACAAATTGCATATCATTTTATATTATTCTTAAATTAATAAATTCTTGAACAAGTTTGTCTAAAAATGTGACTAATCTAAGATCTGGATTTCAGTTAAAAAATATTTCTTAATGAATTCATCTTAAGAACTTATAACAATTTTTGTTTTAATATACTTTAAAATCACATACATTAAAAATATTGTAAAGAAGTTACTTTCTCCCCCACCCATTAAAATAGTAGATATTTACTTTCTGAAGAATTTCAGAATGTTATATAAACATGTACTTTGAAAAAAAATAAATAAATAATTAATATTTACCTACCTTGGTGTGCCAATCAAAATGAAACAAGGTAAATACTTAATATGAAAGTATTTTAAGATAACATGAAGTTTGTTTTGTGATAGCATTGGAATAATTTTTTTTATACTTCATTGATAAAAAGGCTTTTAAGAGTTGTGAATTGTTATATTAATCAAAATACTGAAGTGACTGTGTGGATTAGACACCAAAGTAAAATGCCTTCAATTTGTGTTATACAAGCAAAAATGTATATTTTTTTTTTTTTTAAATCAAAATTCAATGTTAAGTGTTGAAATGTTAGTCATGCAGAAACCAGCACACATTAGTCAACCATTTTAGTTTTGATAAAAGTAACTTTAAATTCTTTCATGGTGTTTGGTTGTCACAGATTTTTCTTCATCCTAAAATCAAAGTAAAATTAATGCCCAATTGTCAGAAAGGTCTTCGAATATCACATGAAAACTACAACATCAAATAACTCTTTTTTTAAAAAGGCCAAATTTCTTTGAGAGTAATCTAAAATATAGGAGTCACTGAAACTTGCTAAATTTGCCAGGGGCAACAAAATAAAGGGAGAAAAAAAATAATTGAACTTAAATGCTTAAGTTGGAGTCCCTCCCTCACTCACACAAAATGAGATAGATGAGAACATTAACTTTTAAAATCTTTCATTGTATATTTTAAAAATATGAAACTTGTTTTTGGGAAGTTTACTTTTTGTCAAGCAAAATAGGTTGTCAATGTCTAGTTGAAATCCCCACCCACCCAAATTTCTGTAAATATTTTTTGTTGATTTTGACTTTTTTCACAGAAGAACATTTCAGATTGATATGTTGCTCTTGAAAATCTTCAAGTAATAAAAAAAAACTCTTTGTTGGTGGTACTTTATTTTTTTTTCTTAAATTTTTTTTCTTTGCTTTATGGCAAACAAAATCATTTTGCTGATTTCTAGTTGCTGCTTTGTCTTAAAAAAAAATGAAATTTTTGAGAAAATTTTTTTTTCTTTTTGTGGAATTATCTGAGGTGGGGGTGGAAAGTGAAAATATTTTTTGAATTTTTGTTCTATCATTTTCCATTTATTTAAACTGGAATTTACTTGAAAATTGATTAACAAAGTCCACTTAACATGTTTAGTGCTATATTAGATCTTTGAAATGTATGAAATAAGGATGTCTCGGTGCTGCAAGGCAGAAACATTGCCTTAAATAAAATGGTGGTACTCATAGGTGGGCATGTTAGGAATCTGCCTAGAGATTGTGATATTTGTGGATTTTTTTACTAGTGAAAGAGTTCAGGAAAAAGCCAGAATATTACAATGTCGTTTTTTAAAGCAGATAAGCTATTCCCATTTTTTGAAGATTGATAAAATGGAATATGGTTTTCAATTTAGTGCTTTTGCTCAAAGGCATGTCGGATAAATTTTTAATCTAAGAAACTCAATCAACTCAAGTAATATTAGAAACAGCTTACCTTTTCACCATTCGGTAGGACAAAGAGACTTCTTGATTAAAATCAAAGAATGAATAAAGAGTAGAATCCTGTCACTAAATGAAATGTAATTCTGTATGGAAAAATCTACAATAACTACAGAGAAAATGTGGGAATTTTTTTTTTTTTTTTTTAAGCATTTCACCTTAAGCAAGGTGTGAGTGCCACTAGCACACAAGGGTTTACAGAGAGTGAGAGCACCAGTAAAGAGGGGTGTTTGAGAAAAGGATATAGAGGAGGATGGGGATCAGTAGATGTTGATTGACATTACATTTGAAGATTATAGCTATCAGGGAAGCAAGTAGGAGGAAGGGAGTTCTACTGGTGGGAAGTGTGAGAGAAGAAGCTGTTGGAGTAGAAGAGACTGTTACATTTAACTGTTTTGACAGTGAAAAGGTAGGACCAAGATGCCAACCTCCATGAAGAACCAGGTTTTATATTTGGCTACTTGTTTTTTTTTGTTTTTTTATCGGACAGCACTATCAACAACTGACCAACATTTTTCAGTTTCATATGTTCATTAATCTTGCAACACCTTTCTCTCTTCATCTATGTTTCCAACACAATAATCTTCTTTTGTTCCCGCGTGGTAATCTCATTTTTAGCAACTTCATATCAAGGGGAGTAACTCTATTCACTCTAACAATCTCCCTCTTTCATTAGTAAACAAATATAGGTCAACAAATTAAACAATTGAACTCAACAAAGGCTTTCATTCTCCTAGTCTTTTTTTTGTGAAGTACCTTCAAAATATTTGTACCCAATGTGCCAACCTTTGTGAGTGCATCTGCCAACTGTTCACTATTTTGTATCCATCAGAATGTTACTTCCTTTTTTTTTCATTCATTCCTCAAACAATTGACAATTCTACTCATTGTCTGATGTTGCTAATTCAATGTCTTTGCTGCTTCACTTAACCTGTCCACTGTAAAGTAGACAAAAGGTTAAGTGGCATTGCTGTTATTGTAGACAATTTCTGCAATTATTTTAGCCATAAACAATGACATGTCACACCCTTCAACAAATGATAAGGTCTCTTCTGATTACATGGATTTCCACATCAGTGGACAGGCTGTCATTCTTTTTCATCAATCAGAAAACCAATTTGTCTTCTTTGACTACCCCCCCCCCAACATCCAGGAGATTAGTATAACTTGCATCAGTATCTGTTACAATCTTAGAAATTTTTAAGTCTCACAAATTGGATGTCACTGGTTGTGTTTTTCATATGCCTTAAGATCTTATTTGCCTTATTTAAATGGCAAAATTTAGCATTTCTGATTGTGGCACTCAACTGGCAAACAGTAAAACCTGTCATGCCAGCAATCCAATCCAATTGTCTAATGAAGCACTTTAGCTTTCTCTGCAATGGTAACTGTATCATGTTTTTGAAGTTGCCAGTGTCAATCCATGCTAATAAGACTCAATTTTTTTTTCATGTAATTTTCTTGATTGATACAGATGGAGAATCTGCGTCTGATATACTTGAATGCTGATGAATGTTCATAACTTATATCAAATGTACTCAATTTTTCTATCACACACAATTCAAAATTTTTACTCAGAGTTGATCATTAACAAAACATGTCAGAATACTCTCAAGACCATCTATGGAATGCCAGAAGAAAACACCAGCATCATATGTACTTATTCTTGTACCAAGTTTGGTCATCTCTTCTTTGAGTCAGAAAAACAAGCACACCTGCTAATTCATAGAATCATTTTAAGTTCCCAAATTAGTTTTATATTCCCATGGTGGACAGAGATAAATGTTCAGGCAGTGGAAAACTTGAAGAAGGGAATTAACAGGAGATAACTGACATCCATTAGACATGGAACTAGAATAGTCTACCCCAGAGA